ACAGCGCGGTGCTGTCTCGACATGCGTTTTGCGCCAAAGTTGTGTTAGCTAATTATTGTAGTGACCTTGATTCTAAGTCAGAGTGTTACACTTTAAATGTATCCCTTTTTTGCCCCTCCCCCCCCGTTCGACAGAGATTGTGTGGCTGTGGCTGGAGAACAGAAGGACCTTCGGGGGCAGGTAGGCCACCGGGTCTGTATGCAGAATTACGTTACCTGAAATGTGGTTAGACCATTTGACGCAATTTCTGCTGAATCAGATAACACAAGCGTCAACATCTGAGCAGCAGAGATACGAAAAAACCCCAAGGAATACAAGCGATTTCTGAGTTAACATTAATAAAACCATTCTTGTTCTTACTCTGCCAGTTCCTTTACTGCTTTTTTCCCGCCCCCAGTCCCGCGGCTGCACTCACATCTCGTGACCCTAGCTCAAGATCACTGCTTCAGTCAGTGCTTGCAAGCATCCTGTTTTGCTTTTGGATCACATTCCCAAAAGCCGAATGCAAATGAACCTCATGAAGAATTTTTAAATTGGAGCAATTAACTCACTAATTTCCTGACAGCGTCAAATGGTACAGCACTCTCAATCTACAGTACTTGTCACTGCCCAAACTAGCCTGAGCTGTGCATCCACTTTCTAAATGAGGGAGCTTACTGCAGTTTAATTTAACAAATACCCAGGAATTTACACCAAAGCTTAGTTCAGACAAGTATTCCGATATCCTCAACAGAGCAGAAATGTCACTGTAACCAATAAAACGTTTTGATTTTTTTTTCGTAGCAAGTGACCCAGTTCATGCTTGATCTGTATTACAAAGGCATGTCTGTAGCTGTGTCAGGCAGGATTACAAGAGATACATCCCTATCAAAAACATGCAGAGAAGCAAAACGCTTTATGCTGTTACTGCAAATTATCAAAAAACTGGTTTCAAACATCTGTCAGAGGGTACAAGGAGGCAGCATAACTAACCTGACAGACAAATCTCTCCCTTACAGGCCCTGCGAAAACACTTATGCCAACAGAAATGGCGTGATTCAAGCATACTTTAATAGATACAGCGGAACTGGATTTTGCAAAAGCATTTATTAATGTCGCACCCTTCATTTGACCTTCACACAGACGTAGCTCCTTTAGTTCTTCAGAATGATGGTTTCTCAGGGTGCTTTCTTTGCCATGAGTATGTCTATCCTTAACAATGTGCTAAAGAATTTGTTTTGAAAAATGAATATCAGATGCAGTAACCATTAGGAAGACTAGGATGATGGGATTACTTTGTTTTTTCAAGAGACCAGCAGGACAACAGCACCGGGATAAGTAAATTCACGTATTTGTGGCTGAAAAGGGGGAGATGAGTAAGAACCCTGCATCCTCCCAAAAACAAGACACTGGCATAGGGAGCCTAGTTCGTTCCTGGGTTAATGAAGCTCAGATGGGCCATCATTCCCCAGGGCTGGGAGGTGGCTGCAGGAGGTAAAACCCCACTGGCTTGGTGTCCTACGGGTGGGACTTGCTCAGAAACGATTTTTTGGATTGTTTTGCTGTGTCTGCAAGCTGTGTTCCAGCACAGGCTCCGCACCTGGTTGTGGAAGGGCTTCACAGAAAACAAACATCACGAAGCAGCTAAGGAAAGACAGGAGGGCAGGAAGATTTTTGTAGCAGAGACACCAGTGTGTAGTGTCTTGGCTGACATGAGCAAGATAAGTCACTTAAAACAGGTTTCAGGTGGTCGGATCCAGCAGCAGTGTCAGCCTGTGCACGCAGTCCACCTTTTCAGGCTGTTTCCTATTCGTAAGGGCAAAACATAGTAGGAATTTTAAAGCAAAACTGATGTGCAGGATAATGACAGAAAATTCTGCTGTTTGAAAATCCATGAATACATGAATTACATAACACAAAAAAACCCATGAAAGTATTAAAAAAAAAAACCCAATGCAGACTCAACTAATGTGAATTTATTTATACAAAAATGATACATATGCACAGGAATATTTACAACAACTTTAAACTGTTTTCATTTACAAAATAAAAATTCTTTCATTTAGACAGTACAATTTAGGACTGCTCCAAATAAAAGTCTATTTGGATGGTAAATACAGGGGACAGCAATTATGGCAAACAAATGCATTGAATGTGTCTTTCCAAACCTCTATGTTACGATGTAATATACATAATCAAGTTGCCACACACAAAAAATATTTAGTAAAATGTGTTCCATAGCTGCTCAGTTATCAATTTGTTTTAAGTCCTTTGGGCATAAAAAATAGTTAAAGAGAATTCACGATCCTAGAACGTTTCATCTATCCAAGGATAAAGATGCTAGAACTAATATTCAATGCTAATGTTTGTCTCATACTCTACTAACCAATCTTAAATGAATTATTAACTATAGGTTCTTATAAGAAGAGGTAGCCAGGTGTTTGAAAACTTCTGGGTTTGTTTTAGTGTTTAGTCAAATCAAGAAGCGAATACTTTATGTTTGATGGTAATGAATCAAAATGGGAGGCGACCTGGAGAAATAGGGTAAGTTTGAAAAGCAACCATCTGTAAATGTTATGAAAATGCCTATGCTGGAGATTCTTCACATGACAGAAAGCACTAGTGCTGCAGAAAGAGGAAAAGAAATATTGAAACGTGTTTACTAAGACAATTTATTTCACACAGAATTAGAATGCAATATGTGTACTATTGTCTTTAAGGCTCCATTCCAATCTATTTCTATCGCAGAAAGATTTTTTTGATTGATCAGCTGCTTCTGGAAGAAGTCCTCTGATTTTCACAGAACACTTTAAACTATTTTCTCTCTGCACCAAATCCTTGAGAGGTAGTTTGACACCGCACGAGGCAGAACTTGGGCACCTTATTCAGTATGTGTTTGGACTTTTATTGCTCTGTTTTGCAGGAGGGAGATCAATATCAAACCGTAAATTGAAATTAAATTAGCTTGCTCCTAGCCGAATGTCTGATTCATTTGCCGGTTCATGGCTTTC